CAAATGATTTAATGGTAGAATTTAAACACTGTTTATTTGTATTGAAATGAAAACTATAAAATCAGTACCCTTAATACGAATGCGAGCTCACGAAAACTAATTATGTAGTTTTCGTAATGGTAAAACTCGTACTAAGGGTAGCAAACATATTTATGCTACATATTTACTTTTATATCGTAATAAATAAATAGGTACACCAGAATAAACTTAACTATCGTTTTAAAATTTGGTACGATAATAAATTACTTAACAAAGGGACGGCCATGTGCTCCTGAAACATTTAAATTTATCATTACTCTCAAATATTGCTAAAATTTATGATCTCACATTGTCACACAGTTTAGTATACTACAGCTTTTCTAAGCCTAAACGAAATATGACCTTTCAATTATTAAAAATATCACGACAACAGGGCCAAATAAAGCTAGTAGCCCATCCATATTATTATTATTATAAAAAAAAGTTTGGCTCTTTAACTTTTGCCCAAGATTTTCAACAGGGGCGGGCTTAGGTATTTTCGAGATCAGTGGCGGCGCTATGCGTCGGCGACATCGGCCACCGCCGACGGCCTCGCGCCTGAGGAGGCCTCGCAAAAATTTTTTACAAGTTACCTATTTATTTTCGTTTCTCCTGGCCTGGCTTAGGTAGCCGACCCCGAACAATTTGGGGAAAAAGCTAAGCAGATGATAATGACTTTTATTATTTTCGAACACGTGAGTGAGGATGGAAGCGAGTAGTACTTTACGGGTATTCAGAATCGTCTGTCTGGCAACACTATTTTTGTAATTAAATTTCTATGTTTGTAATTATTTTTGTCATCATTTGATTATCAAAAATAAAACTCGTTTACTCATACGTTATTTTATAATTTGGCTCACTTAATTTAACGGTTTTTTACTGCGAAGTAAAAAGGGCCTCGCGAACTCGACGTCGCCGACGTCCACATGTGGTCTAGCGCCGCCACTGTTCGAGATCCAGGTAATAAATAGATCTTTGCGAGGCAGGCCCTTGTACTTTAAAGTATAAATGAATTAAAGGTAGGTATATTTAATAGTGATATTTTATGAGAAATGCAAACATAATTAAACCGACCACGTGTGACTAGCGTACGAATCTTGGCAGATATCCTTAAGTTTCTTTACTGCTTGTTTTGTTGTGTGAGTCTACGGACGTTTGCCATAATCGCTACTCCCTAAGGCCGCTACTGGTTTTCAGGTCCACCAAGTACTTATATTAAGTTATAGAGATAGGACGAATGAAAGACTACTCTTATTATTATTAGGTTTAGACCTTAGACATATAATCACGAGGGACACTATATCTCTGAAAAATTATGTAGATACCTACTGCAGCTGTAGAACACACGCATGTAAAAAACCTTTAAGTTTCTCGAAACTCCTTTAGTATAAGTCGTTAATGTTGTGATAATAAAAAGGTGCCTGTGCGAGTCCAACTAGCATTTGCTAGTTTTTAGAAAACGAATTTAGGTTCTACTATAATCTGACAAGAATAATAGTCATCAATCTTGTCCACTAAGCACTGCAACTGAATTTTGATTCGCTGTCTCCCCTCCAAACGGCACTATTTAATATGTATGAAATTTGAAATATTCAGAGTTAATGTATCTAGGTACTGCCGCACCGTCATAACGATTGAGTAAAATTATCATAGTGAAAGAACACAATTTGTTTGTTTTTTCTGTCGGAAAGTCTATTATCTAGATAGACGATATTTCATATCATTTAATATGAAATATATATGTCCATCTTCATAATGAATTATACAGACGAAAGCGCATTAATCATTATTATAGTAATAGCTGTTCCGTTGACACCCTTTAGGTACCTACGTAATCTTAAAACGCTAAAACTGCAAATGTAATGAAGTTTAGAATATGTTTATGAAAGGGTAAAAAACATACTTTGGGTTTGCGAATAGTTTTGCTTGCATTAACATTCAAGTTACGTAGCTAGATCGTGGATTTCGCTCAAGTCTCACAGCGGAATCTCTAATTTCCCGAGCCTGACCCATCTACACAAAGTATAAAGTTTGTCGCACAGCCCCGACTTGCCATAATCTGGCGGTAAATCACCCGTCCTTGATTGCGTGGAGGAGACAGGTTGGGAACCACCTATCGTTGTACATCTCATTGAGAACCTGAACTATGACAACAATTTGGTAGCTATTATGTTAACCACTCCAATATCCAATTTGCTTTAGTAAAGTTGCAAAGGCTTTTATGAAAGTCACTTCATGTACCTTCTTATTTTTTCTCGATACGATGGAACAGGATGCACTTATTTCACACCGCTGACATGATTTTGTCTTTCAAAAAAATTTCAAATTTCTAGCTATCAAGATTTATGAGATACTACATCCTGCTGACAGACCAGCTAAGGGTTTAATAATAGGGTTCCGTTCTCTTATTTTTTTGCGCAGAACCCTAAACACTCGAAAAATCAAGATGAAAGACGAGATCACATTTTGTTTTTCTTTTGTAAACTTGATTAATGTTTTCGTAGAAGACAAATAAAATAAAACGTTAGTATTCAAAAACGTTTTCAATTTCAAAATAATTAATTTCACAAACCTAGCTGCCCAGAGAATAAAGGTAATTGTTACATAATGTTCCATAAAGATTAACAATAAAATAACAACTAAACACAAATTTCCGAAACATTTGAGTGCAAAAACAAATCCTTTCCGGTTAAATCCTCATTCATCGCACGAAAACCTAAGAATGTAATAGACATTTTACATAATATTTAATGCCCTTCAAATGCTTTCAACCTACATTCGAAAAATATCTATGTCAGTGAGAAATTTTCCATCTGTCGAGTAGAATTATTTACCACTCGATTCAATTATGCGATTCTTAGCAAAGATTACAAGTAATTTATTATTTTATTATATAAGACATTATGTAATAAATGTTGTCATTTAATTAACGCTTTCCTATTACCCTGTAATATAACTGAATCTTTATTTGATGATTTCCTAATGCTTTTTTGGTCTTAATTTTTCCGCAGGTACATATAAACGCGGAAAATTAAGACCAAAGTACTCAGCACTCACTAACTTAAGTTATTTACATTATTATAGAAAAAGCGCCCAAGTGCGAAGGGTTCCCTAGTATTATCTACACAGCATTAGAAAAAACAAAAAACAAGCAAAATACTTGAAAAAAAATCACGTTTGTTGTATGGAAGCACCACTTAAATATTTATTTTATTCTTTTTTTAGCATTTGTTGTTATAGCATCAGAAATACATCATCTGTGAAAATTCCAATTGTCGAGCTATCACGGCTCATGAGATACAGCCTGGTGGCAGAAAAACAGACGGACAGTGTAGTCATAGTAATAGGGTCCCATTTTTTCCCTTTGGCTACGGAACCCTAAAAATATGTGCTGTGAAGTTGTTTACAATCAGGTTCATATCTAAGTTCGTATAGGCACGTGAGGACAACATTTTCTATGGGTAAACATTTTGCACAACAAGTCCCTCGCTTGAATGTTAAATATTACATTACATTTACTACAGGAATGAAAACCGTAAACGCGCGGTCGTTAATTCTGAAGCATACTCCGGTTTCTTTTTTTTAAATCGACATCAAGAAAGACCCGGCGCGTGTTGCTTGCTGCGCTCAATTAAAAGCAGTGGAGCGAGCGGCGCGTGTAGCGATGTCGCAGTTTGCGAGGCTGAAATTAAATTTCAACTTACTTGAGCATTTATAGCGTGGTAAAATCACATTGCCTGGCGTTACTGCCGTATGGGGCCTGCTACATTGAAGCATACTAGCGGGGATGCTTGCTTACCCCGTTGTGTTGTTGACATTCTGCAACAATTTCTCTTTTGACTGTTACTTTCCAAGGGTTTGTTATATTTTTAAATGTCTAGCAGTGTTTAAACAGCTTTATTTAGTTAGCAGATAAAAAATCTTCCAGAGATTTTGTATATTTTTATAAAATAAAATAGGCAGAAGAAGCCGCCCAGTGTGACCAACCTTAAATTAAAGAGCCTGCCCCGCTTAGGCAAAAAAACAGACAAATCCTGCCAAAATTGTATGCACAAAATGCCAAAATAATGCCAATATAGATCGACAACGCTGATCTGTCCTTTTTATGACATTGACATTCGTATGCTTAGTAGTGGTTGCACGTTATTATATAATAGATAACCTAGGCACCAACTTAGTGTTACATGTGTTTACACCATGCAACATCTTCATCTTTCGCTTTTGATAACCACGACGAAAGTGATGGATCCTGCTCCCACTCTTCGCCATATAATCGTTCCTATTTACGTTTCATGGTATTATGGTAACCATTCACACACACCGCACGAAATCAGAAACAAAACAAAATTGTGTCTCCGCCAGTTTTTTTAGTCCGACTAATTACATAAACAACTGACAAATAAAAATAAAGTTAATTTAAACATTACGCTCCGCTCTTAAGGTTTACAATGGAATGAACTACAAATTCGACTAGAGATGTTATGGGAAATCTCCGAAACAAAGGTAAAGTTGCCAATTTTGCCATTGGCATTTTAAAATTCCTACCTACTGTTTTTTCTTTTGTCGATCCGCACCCAACTCATTTAAATAAATAAAAAAAAAACTGAAATTGCTATAAACTGCTAAATACTGCCAGATTTCTAAAACGTTAAACAAATATGCCACAGAGTAAAATAAAGGCTAAACCTGCCGAAAAGGCAGGATCCTGCCACATATGGTCACATTGAAGCCGCCCCGCACTTTTAAGCAATTAATTATTGATAAAATAAGCACTAGGAGCCACCACACGAATTTATGCAATTAGCTACATAAAAGGATACGGGACTATTTGATTAGTCCTCCTGTAATTTAATTATTTGGAAGTCTTCTCGTCTCTAAAAACATTACAATATTGTGTACCTTTATCAGCCATTAGAGAAGAGGTCCGGTTCTCTAATCCACGAGTAATCATAGTAATTAAATTGTTTTTGTGCTGGCCATGAACGAAACGAAGCCGCCGATAACAAATGAAAAGAAACGATAATGGCGCTGTCATTATTTTTACACAAAATCAACAGTTTGATATTTTTTACAATAGCAATTTTGTCATGTGATCAAATAGATATTTCGCCCAAACAATTACCACAATATTACTGATTCCATACCTTTAACATAACTGAAATGTGTATCAAGTAGAAAGCAATCAAATCATCAATATGAATGATTTTTCCACATTAGAAAAAACTATAGTGCGTGAATTGTCGTGTCGTCTTTGCTTGTGTACAGATGTTGTGAAACTGAAACCACTCAGTAATGAACTAAAGAGGAAAATCAAAAGGCTCTTTGATATTGTTGTAAGATAAACATAAATAAAAATAATATTATTAATGGAAAAGTGACTCTGTCCGTCTGTTACGCTTTCACGTCTAACTACAAAACCGATTTTGGAAACATTTTGATTAGGAACTGTGGACAACGTTAATTTTGCGTTCACTAAAACTTTCTTTATCTGTCTAGATAATAAGAATATGTATATGTTATATTCAAAGTATGTACTCGTATGTTTTGAAAGTATCATACTTATCTACACAATAATCATATATTTATTATGGAACGCCTATTGTACTTACCACCAAAGTTTTCCTAAATAATGAAGTAAAATGTGCATAGGATGGATTAGTAAATCCATAGATTAAAACAATTTAATCTAAGTACTAATCAGATCAGAAAGTTTAGATCACATTTGATACTATCAACCTACTTACACAATCGATAATTTGGCAAGTTGGTCCTCGCAGGCAGCGGGACTGCATTGTTTCCCAGGAAAATGGAACTCATTAATAATACTTCCACCATGATGGGGTTTCATGCGAGTGAGGTCACCAACGTAATAATATAATAAGGACCTCTTAACGTACGCTCCACCTACTATACAAATTATCCCATTATGTTCTAATTACAGTAATATTATGGGATAAGAGCTTTAGCTGGAAAATACAAGCAGAGTAGATTTTTGTATAAGTGCTTTTGTTTTAACCTTCACAGTTTGTTTTTATTGCCCTTTAATGAATACTTTAAATATAAGAATCCAGAAGAAAATTCCGCCCGGATGCTGGAAGATGCGGGTTTGAGACCTTTTTTAGGAAAATGCGTGACTCATCCCCTGCCGCCTTAGGAGAACGGAGAGGTTATGTGGGACTTCTCCCCGCGTCTCCCGCCCATCCGCTCAGCCAGTCCGAGGACTGGCTCACCGACTGCTCAAGAGGAAGGGGGCCCCACTAAAAACCTGACGATGCCCCCTCACCTCACCAATGGGCCGTCACTTCTTAGGGCGCAAGATCCACTGTCAGGCGGTACCTCGCTCGGCACGGGCCACGGGAACCCGTGAGGATACTTCAGTGACCTCACCAGTGAGTGTTCGAATCGAACGGACCCACCCCCAACCTGGGGATGCCCCGGGGCATCGGAGACATACCCACCTAAAATGCGGGTTCGAAACCTAGACCGAGAGGATTTTTTTCTAGGAGATTTTTTTTAGATTTAAACAATTAGCAGTTGAATGCTTAAAACAAATAAAAATAATAGGTAATTCACGTTCCATTTAATCGAAGCAGTTAAAACAAACTATGAGATAAATACTACCATGAATCATAAAGCAGAAACATATTAACGTGTCGTGGCGTGACGTGGCGCATCGGTTTCAAACATTTATTATGGGTTAGAGAGAGATAGAGAGGTTAAAGCGTCGACACGACACGATACGTAAATATGTCTCTAACCATAGTAAATGTATGAAACCGATGTGCTTCTGGCGCGCCACGACACGACACGAGACGTTAATATGTTTCTGGCTTTACACTTTAATTTAACTCTATTGATATGTTTACTTAAAAATGTTGAGAAATTTAGGCACACTTAATCGCCTCCTACAATCAAAACACGTAAAAGACAAGTTTGAAGAAAGATAAATAAAACGTATTAACTGTATAATATATTATGTTAATTATAGGTATAAAAATGGGAAGTTATTTCTTCACGAACATATATATATCACAATTTGCAGATAATCTTCTTCTGTTATTACAATGACCAGAGTTATGGCTCAAACAGTACCTAGAGGTATTTATACCGTTTAAATGTTGTTGTAAATCTAAACTAATCTATACTTATTTGATGGTATTTCAGGTGCGCACCGACGACACACTCCCTAAAGCAATATGCCACGACTGTTTGCAACAGGTGGCTGCAATGCACCTGTACGCGGTAAAAGTAGAAAAAACCCAAAAGTTTTTGGACTTCCACAAACTGAAATCCGTTGAGGATAAAAGGGATCAAACCTCAGCGGATAGCAAAAAAGCGAGCCCAATATCAGCATCTTTGTCATCGCAAAACCTTACTGACATTACCAAGAAACTTCTATATCCCAAATCTAAAACTCCTCTCTCCGAACATCAACACGGTGACGTGAGAACAATCAAAAATAAAACGCAAAAGAAAAAATCCCCATCAGATATGAAGTTTTTGGAGTCCATGCCTTTAGAAGAATTCGTTATAGCTGAGAAACTCGATAAAACATTGTTAAATAGTCCTTCGATGGTGAACAAACCTTCGAATCAAAAAGAAGAGAAGCGAGATGTGAATAAGGACAGCAAACTGATACCTGAAGAAATAACTGAGAGCCTAGATCCTGTGGTGCTGATAGACGGCAGACCAGCTCGTCAAGGCGCTGCCTTGGATAACCAAATCACGCTGTTCTACAAAATGGAATGTTGTATTTGCCACGAAAAAGGTTTCCATTTCAGGTCCCTGGTGAAACACTATAAGGACCGCCACGGAGTGCCCGGATATGTAACTTGTTGTGACAAAAAGTTTCATTACTTCTATCCGAAAAAAATCATCGAACACATGGCTTATCACCTTCAGCCAAATATATTTATGTAAGATTTTATTTATTCTTTTGTCAGTTCTAAATTGCTTTCACAAATTATTTCATTGACATAGAGCCGCACTAATTTATTAATATATATAGAAACTCTAAAATTAATTGACGTTTCTAAGTGCAACCGATGGTATTTTGATTTTCGCATTCTCGGCTGTAAATTATAACGATCGATATAGTGGCCCACCCTTGCTTCGCTTCGGTGTAGATGAAAATACCGTCCAATAGAAATAACACTCAATAGATTACGACCGGTCGCGGTTCCATACCTATGTCGTATTATCTCTTTAACTATTCGTCCAAATGATAGTATGTAGTAAAAGGGAAAAGTCTATTGTTTTACAAACTTGAGACGATAAATTTATTTATTTTAATTAGAATTCATAATTGATGATAATTTGACCAATAAACATGACCTAGCGATTTTAATTATATTTTTATTTTATTTATTCGGTATACATAACATGTTACAATCAACAGAGTACTAACTTATAATAATTGAGGAATCGATCAAGATTGCAACACTTAACATGCATCTAAGACTACTGCCTTATGTAAAAAATATAATAAAAATAAATTCCAGTACTTTGTCTCGTAGATTTAACAGATGTAAAATTTCCAGCTGTACCTTATATGTTTTTTTTTGGCATGAATAAAAAAATATTATTATTATTTACTTAACATGCATACACAAAAAATTTCGTTATATAAAACAAAGGACAATATATCGATATTAACTGTTACATTGCATTAAATTAAATTCATTCAAATAAAAACAAATTGAATACTATAAATTAGATAAAATTAATTAAAATTGATTTAAATATATGTATTACATATATTACATATTAATATAATAACTTCTTTTTGTAAACTTAAATATAAAAAGTTAGACATTGCTCTCGCTGACTTTTTGTGGGTTTTATCAAGTTCTAAGTACAACTTTCTCTAAAACTCTAAACTATATGAACTATACTAAGTAACTATATATAGCCTACGACACTCACAAATAATAGTGAACCTAATAGAAAGCTACATAACGAACTAAGAAACTGCGAATTATCAAAAAAGACTTAGTAGATCCAGAGATTAGCCCCTACACACGTCTCAAACACGCAAACTTAACCTCTTTTTACCCGACTGCGCACGCAAGCAGCGCGAAGCGCGACGTGCAGACAGGGTATTGTCAATTTTAGTATAGATAAGGAACCAATTATTTTTCACTTTCGTCTTACCTACCTAACAATGGATATAAGTATTATTATCTCTTTAAACAGGTGCACAAGTTGCCATCAGAACTTCCAAACATCCCAAGAGCTGAATGAGCATCAAAGCAACGGCGGGCGATCGGAAGGCAAGATTGTCTGTCCTCGATGTTCCGAGAGATTTCCTACTTACCGCGAGCTAGGCTGCCACGTCATCACTCATCGCACAGACAAACAACAATGCGACTATTGCGGAAAATTGTAAGTCAAAATTCTATGCGATTTATGTAAATAGCCTGAGGATCTCGGTAGCGCAGGTGGTTAGCGTGTTCGACTTGCGATCGTGGAATTTAAGCAACTTTGCCAATGACCGGACATTGGATGGGTAACCAACCACCAATCTCCTCCAAAATACTAACTCCTTCGTGATTCAGAAGGCACGCTAAGCGGTTGGTCGCGGTTGCATCTGCAGTCGTTAGCACCCATTTATCCGCACTGGGCCCGCGTGGTGGGTCATAGCCCAATCTCCCTATTCTATTCCCAGTTGAGGCCTGTGCCTCAGCAGTGGAGGCATTAACAGGCTAATGATGATAAAGCAGACCAATCGCAATCATTAATACCACAGATAAAGTGCCCTAGGGGGCGTCCATTTATTATGTGAGGTGTTTTTTTGAATTTTCTGTCCCTCCCTCCCCCCCTGGTGAGATGTCGTGAGATTTTTTTCAACCCCCTCCCCCATCCCCCAATCTCACGAGAGATTTTTCAAAATGTGGGTTTCTTACTTAAATGCGTTGGATTGTTATTGCTAAAAGAAAAAAAAATGCTTCGTGCTTTTATTTACGACTAGTTAAGACTAGTAATCAATATTGCTGAGAGTTATTTCTTTCGAACGAAATAGTGAATGATCTTAATCGTATTACGGTTACACTTAAGATTAAATTTTAAGCATGTACAGGTGGCGATTCTGGCATGATTCTATAAAGCTAAACTTAAATTTGACAACAGTGTATCTCTGTCATTCTATATACAGACTGAAAAGGACAGACTGATGTCAAATTTAGTTTTAAGCTTAGAGAATCCTGCCAGAATCAACACCAATATCTGGTTTAAATGGACCAAAATAATATATTTTTTTTGTTTCAATCAGAAAAAAAATTGAGTGATATTTGACTCGACCACCCCTCTCTCCAACGTAAGATTAGATGAGATTTGACTCGACCCCCTCCCCCCCTTAAACATCTCACGTTATTTATGGACGCCCCCCTACCCGCAATCTCGTAGCTACCTCCTTGAGCCTTGACATAAAACTTAAGACAATAACACCAAAAGATATTTTATTGTACAGCGGTCTTCTGTAAGATGGTGGACACTAACCAAGAGGAAACTATTTACATTCGTGTTCCTATGTAACACTGTAGATACCATTGGTCTTCCTTACAGACTGAAACATCACCATAGGAAAAAAACTATCAATCACATGGAAGATGTGATCCTATGCTCACAGTGTGTTCGCACCCTGAAGTCTATTGAGAAACAAGAGAAGGAGATCGTAAGTTATCTCCCATTACTCTAATGCCGTTAAGTGCCAGCTCTAATGCCGGCACTTAACTTAGCTATTCGTATTTGTATGGGGGTTGATAGTCAAGTCTCCGGCAGACTCAAAAATTTTATGACATGTAGTGCACTTAATTGTAAATCGTGTGACAAAAAACTGAATTTATTTTATCCCAGTCTTTTTTTTTAATAATTATTGCTATATAAAATTACGTAATTATTTATTGGCAAATGGTAAGTTTATTTATCTATTTTTTGTCGCCAAACCATTGCATATAATCTACTCAATAGCTAAATAATTCAGTTATAATTATTCTGTTCATCTTCCCTTACATTATTAGGTAATTTGTGGGTATTTAATTTCAAGAAGAATCATAAACTGGTATAATAAGTTCACCACGATTTCACGAATATCATTGGCTGATGACTGACTGACTGATATATACAGGGCGTCCCACGGCTACCTCACACGGAGGGAAAGTATATTAAATATTAAAGATAGGATATATTTACTGAAAGAAGACATCATTTCATTTTTGATAATAACTAGAACTGCATTCACAGATTTTTTAAAAATCGACTGCTACAGCTGGGAATCAAACTCGTGAAATTGCGAAAAAAAAATACGAGATATTTTATGATAACCATCGAAAGGGTTTATCATAAAGATTATTTTTTACTAATTAACATAGCATTTTAAATGAAAGGAATGTCTTATTATGTGATAAAAAGAATAAGCGATATACAAACTGTAGTACGTATGCATTTCATTTTGAACTCGGTTACAATGTGATTGGCTGAAATTTGTAAAAATAATAATTCGAAAATAGAACACATACATTTTCAAGCGTCTGTACCCCTAGCACGAACCATTATCGAATTCGAATAGTTTGCGAGTGTGAAATGTCAATGTCAACAGCAGCACCACAAAGTACGTAACGAGAACTAAAAATCAGTACACATTTGACAATGACATTTCGCACTCGAAAACTATTCGAATTCGATATTGGTTCGTGCTAAGGGTACTGTTCTTTTTTTTGTGTTTTTCATTTTAGTTAAAAACCGGGTTCTCTTAATACATTTTTACAAAGGGAATCTAAATACGGAAAGATATCTAGAAATACTTAATATTTTAAGAGATGAGATCAATAATCTTCCTGATGCAAATCTACGAAATTTAATTTTTCAGCAAAATGGGACTCATAACAGTAGGAGAACTGCCGAGTTTCTTAATGAACACTTTGCTTCCTGGATCGGTTCTTATGGACAAATAAGATGGCCGAGATCCCCAGATCTAACCCCACTGGACTTTTTTGTGGGGTTATGTAACAGATGTAGTATACAAGAACCGCTAAGACGGTGTGCAGGAGTTACAAAATAACTCAGACGTATTCTTACAAATATTCACCACGCGAAGATAATGAAATCGACAGGCAGAGAAAACATTAATAGAGTGAGAATTTGCATTCAACAAATCGGATCATATTTTGAACATTTGATACATTTCGTTTTGTATTACTTTTTGTTGAATATTTTTAATAAAATGTGTAATTTTATGACTTTTCTTTCATTTGAAATGCTATGTTATTTAGCATAAAATAATTTTTATGATCAACTCTTTCGATGGTTATCATAAAACATGTAGTTTTTTTTCGAAATTTCACAAGTTTGATTCCCCGTTTTAGCAGGCGATTTTAAAAAAATCTGTGAATGCAGTTCTAGTTATGATTAAAAATAAAATGATGTCTTCTTTCGGTAAAATATCCTATCTTCAATATTTAATATACTTTCCCTCCGTGTAAGGTACCCGTGGGACGCCCTGTATATATATATATATATATATATATATATATATATACATGATTGATGATGGGACTGATTGACATTTACAATAGTGATTAAGTTGAAGTTTTATACTGTCACTCCTTAGAATAAAACAAAAAGGGGAGATACGGCACTCGGGGCTCAAGTGAATCGCTGAAATTGTGGTGCATGATCACAATTCGCTTCAGTCACAATTGGACAGTCAAACACGCTGCATGTGCACTATAACAAAATTGTGTATATTCTGTTTACAAAAACGGTCCACCATGAATAAACAATTCTAAATTAGCATTTTGATTTTTGCAGAAGGAAAAAGTAAAAGCCAAAAGTAATGATTTAATCACTCTTCAAAAGTACCAAAAATTCAGACAGGCAATGGGACTCTCAGCTGACGAAGACGCTTTAACAGAGTAAATTAACATTGAAAAAAAATAGAAACATAAGAAAAGCCTCCACTTTTTTGATAAAATAGAAATGTATGTACAATTGTATTATGTACAGAATAAAACAGTATATTTATTTGAAATCCGTGTATTTATCATACCTTAACACTAGAGTTAAACTTAAATTTGTCATACAAGCATTTAGTCTAGCCTTCGCTTCTTGACCAATGACCCAAGGAGATCAGAGATGGCGGGCAAATTGTTGGTCTGATCGTTGGCGCCAGTGTTCAAATTGGATAAAGGAATGTTCAACTGGTTCGACGAATTCTTTTGCTGTCCCTTCATGTTGCGGTGCTGTGGGAAACTTGGCATTAGCTTCGGGTCGCATGCTGAAATGTAAAAATAGTAGATTGTTTACAAAGGGAACAAAGGCTTCAATACTCTTCTCCCCTACAGTTGTTGCGCCATCACATCTTGTCATTATATTTTGAGGAGGGTCAGGGCACTATCCCGAAAATCGAGAAATGCTCTACATAAATAAGGAAGGGGCTTTGGTGTCGCGTCCTATGGTATGGGGTATTTCACAGGGGCACGGCCCGATCTAGAAATTTTGCCGCTCCGGACAAAGATTTTTGCCGCCCTTTAGTGACGTACTTGTCGGTTAAACCTTTGCAGCCTTCTCTGAAGCCTGATCAGAAAAATAAAATCTATTATTTTAGTCCAGTCAACAAGTTCAAAAACGTGAAAAATAGAGATAAAGCTCCTAAAAATATGAGCAATAGCTCATTGGATTCGGAACGACCTCTAGAAAAATGAGTTTTGAGGATTTTACTGCACGTAAAAAATTGCAATTGTTATTAACAAAATAAGATGAAAAAAAAGAGGTATTTACGTTTTTGTTAATAACTCATAAACTTTTAATATTTACGATATTTGGAAAAAAGGTCCTTAAAGAGGAGGAAATTTCCGAAAAAAAAGTCCCAGCTCCCGGAACTCTACCTCTATTATTTATAATTTTAATTTAACGCTGAAAATAGGGCTCCGCGCAGCCATTACGGCATGGGCGCACTGCCGTTAAAGACAGTTTCTTACATAAAATTATTTTTTTATAGTAACAAATATGAATTTAAAAATTTAAATAAATTATGGTGTCATCCAGATACTTGAAAGAATATATTCCAGTTGGAAAAATTTTTTTAAATTAATTTTTCAAAAAGTTATGGAATTGTTAATTAACGAATTTTTTTCCTATCTCCGTTTTCATAAATGACGACATAAAAATTTAAATAATAAACCTATAAATTTTTGGCTCTGTGGAGCTCTTCTTATATATATACTTAACAAGATCCCGCGATAAAAGTTTATTAAAGTTAATTATTTTGTTTATAACAATTTTTTAAAGTTAACAAAAAATGAAAAGTCTAAGAAATGTTATTAAAAAAAAATTTTTAAACAAATGTTATATTATTGCTGCTTTCTTATCCAACAATGGCATTAAATAACATCGGAAAAAAAATTTTTACATCATTTGTTAAGAAATTGTTTATAAACAAATAGACAAGTTTAATATTTTAAGAAAATTTTTTTTTACCATTATGTTGTCTTGGCAAAATAATGATTTAAAAAAAAAAATTTTCTTAAATAATTTTTTTTATTGTTTATAATCGTTTTTTTTTATATTTCGATTGTTTAAATAATTAGTTAAGGAATGATTTTCTCTTTAAAAATCATAATTGGCATTTCTTCATAGGTAAATAGAAAAAAAATTTTTTTTTATCAATAATTTCATTGTTTGTTAACTTAACAATTTGTTATAAACAAATTCTAACTACCGTTATATTGTTTTTTCCAGAGCTAAAAAAATAACAAAAACAGCCATATATATCAAAATACTAAAAAAAAATTTTTTCTATTTTTTATAACGCTTTTAAATATTACACGATACCAAAGTTGCACCGGACACTTGATTTGTCAAGTAAAAAATTAATATAACTTATAAACTATTCGAGATACGATAATGGACATTCAGGTCGTTTTTATAAAGCATTAATTAATCTTCAAAATAAGCTAAAAACTAAGTTTGTAGCTATTTTTGTTAAAAATCATTATTTTGCCAAGACAACATAATGGTAAAAAAAAAATTTCTTAAAATATTAAACTTGTCTATTTGTTTATAAACAATTTCTTAACAAATGATGTAAAATTTTTTTTTCCGATGTTACTTAATGCCATTGTTGGATAAGAAAGCAGCAATAATATAACATTTGTTTAAAAATTTTTTTTTAATAACATTTCTTAGACTTTTCATTTTTTGTTAACTTTAAAAAATTGTTATAAACAAAATAATTAACTTTAATAAACTTTTATCGCGGGATCTTGTTAAGTATATATATAAGAAGAGCTCCACAGAGCCAAAAATTTATAGGTTTATTATTTAAATTTTTATGTCGTCATTTATGAAAACGGAGATAGGAAAAAAATTCGTTAATTAACAATTCCATAACTTTTTGAAAAATTAATTTAAAAAATTGTTTCCAAAGGGAATATATTCTTTCAAGTATCTGGATGACACCATAATTTATTTAAATTTTTAAATTCATATTTGTTACTATAAAAAAATAATTTTATGTAAGAAACTGTCTTTAACGGCAGTGCGCCCATGCCGTAATGGCTACGCGGAGCCCTATTTTCAGCGTTAAATTAAAATTATAAATAATAAAGGTAGAGTTCCGGGAGCTGGGACTTTTTTTTCGGAAATTTCCTCCTCTTTAAGGACCTTTTTTCCAAATATCGTAAATATTAATAGTTTATGAGTTATTAACAAAAACGTAAATACCTCTTTTTTTTCATCTTATTTTGTTAATAACAATTGCAATTTTTTACGTGCAGTAAAATCCTCAAAACTCATTTTTCTAGAGGTCGTTCCGAATCCAATGAGCTATTGCTCATATTTTTAGGAGCTTTATCTCTATTTTTCACGTTTTTGAACTTGTTGACTGGACTATTTTGGGCCTTCAGTGATTTATTATAATAATAATAAGGGCCAAATATGTCATAGTTTTTGGGAGTTTTGAATTAATATTGTTTATTTCGATATACTGACAGAAATATTTTTAGTATACATTTATTGTTCATTTATTTTAGTAAAACAGAACATTTTCCTTTTGAAACAGACATGAAGTCAATTTGGATACTTTTAAATATTTGATTATTTCACGAAACTTGTATGAGAATTATAAACACATATTAATATTAATTAATATTATAAAATTATGGACTAGTGCAAAATAATTATACACGTTAAGGGCAGTTTCTTAGCCATGTCCTTTTATATATTTTTTTTCTTATTTTGTTTTTCGATTCAAGGTTTTACGCGATATAAGTAAGCAATTAATTCATTTAAGTCACTTTTAATGTGTTTTTCTAAGGATTTATATTTAGGTAAGAAATTTTCTAATACCCGGTGAACTACTATTAATCTTAAACTAACTGATCTATCTAACCCGTCATAATTTTTCTTGAGAGTTCATGAAAAGCACTATTATCATGATGTTTTTCTGATTTTTCAAGCCGAACAAAATTTTGCACTTTAAGGGTTAAATATTTTATAAACGGATGCCTAAATCGAAAAATAGTGGTAGCAACCCCTAAGTTGTATTGAAGAACCTATTAAGCAATAACCTACACAACAGGGTCGACGATGAAAAAATAATTTACATGTACGGGAGCTACCCTAACAATAGATTTTTTTTCCAAATTTATATGGGTCCAACTTCGGACCCTTTCCAATAAAAAAGTATTATCCAAATCGGACTACTCTGTAAAGTTATGCGTTATACAAATAAAAAAAATTCGCGTTGATTTGATAACCTCCTCCGGTTTTTCGTCAGTTGAAAACAAAACTGCTAGTCTCTGAGACCGTACATATTTAACTCTGTATTGCAAAAATCAATGACGATATAGGATGGGTGACCAAAAATTGTCATCCCTTATACTTCGGAAGGCAAAGTAAGCCGTTGATTCCGGCTGCATTTGCAGTCTTCTTCCTGTGTGATCATACACAGATTCTGGTGGGGAAACTAATAAATTGCTAAAATGTTATTAATGAAATTAAAACAAAAAAAGGAGCAGTTTCTATATTTGTCAAATATGCATGATTTTTTGTATATTTATAAATTATAAGTTAATTTTCAAAATTATTTCTGTTGACTTACGCAAAGGTTGCTCCTTAAAGTAAGAGCTCTGGAGGCATTCCTCGGCAGTAGCCCGCTTGTTAGGGTCGTACATGAACAAGAAATTGAGGAGTCTCAATCCCGCCGCCGATAGCCACGGGAACCTCTGCTTCAGGTTATTGTATGGCTGCTGCTTCAACGTGAAGTTCTGCAGCGCTGGCAGTTGGCTGAACTCCGGCCAGATGGCGTCTGAAGGCGTGCCTATGTAATTGAGATAAAAGCCTTGTATTAATTACCGTGACTTTAAATAGCCTCAAAACGAAATGTAGCTGGATTTGTCTTTTTAAAGTTGACTATTATCATTGTGACGATAAAGTCATAACAATGATAATAGTATAATATAATGAAATACATAAAATAGTAGTGGAACAGCAACTAACAAAATAAATAAAATTGCAAGGATAAGTGGTAGAGTTGCCTCCTCCTTTGCAGATTTAATTACAGATGGGACTAGTAACTTCACATGAGGTATGTATAGTAACTGGTCCCATCTGCAATTGATTATTTCTCCCTATAATTCTGCCTATAAAGTCCAGGATTAGTATTAATGAAAATTAAAATTTAATGCTTTTGCGCCCAGTTTTTTATATTTAACAGAGATCAATCTTAGGTTTCGAATACAACCAATACTCATATCTGGCACAAACAACTGAAGCTACCTTAACGAATATATTGAAGTATGCAGCCCCCACCCACATACCGAGTGTGGGCATCCGGCAAACACTTGGAACTGCATCTGTACCACAACGTCATCACTCGCAATGTAGCGGTATAATATATGTACTCACTAAGAACATCGACGATTAGCTCCAACTGTTTGATCTCCGTCCTGCCCGGCAGCAATGGCTTGTTAGCGAGCAATTCACCAAGTATACAACCCGCCGCCCACATATCGAGCGCGGGCGTTTGGCGACGCGATGCAACAACTAGGGCGCACGGTACCATAGCGTCACAACTCGCGATGTGGCGGTGTAACAATATACTCACCAAGCAGATCGACGATTAGCTCCAGCTGTTCGATCTCCGTCCTGCCAGGCAGCAATGGCTTGTTAGCGAGCAGTTCACCAAGTATACAACCCGCCGCCCACATATCGAGCGCGGGCGTCTGGCGAGGCGCTTGCAACAACAACTCGGGCGCGCGGTACCATAGCGTCACAACTCGCGGCGTCGCACAACGCGCGGGCGCACCCAACCAACGGGCTAGACCGAAATCCGCTAAAACAATCATTATATACATTTGGCAATGCAATTTTCTTTTGATATATAGAAAATTTGACAAGTTACTCTATCGCACTGGCGTCCATAAATTACGTGAGGTGTTTTTTTAAATTTTCTGTCCCTCCCTCCCCCCCTGGTGAGATGTCGTGAGATTTTATTCAAGCCCCTCCCCCATCCCCCAATCTCTCGTGAGATTTTTCAAAATGTGGGTTAATGGTATTACAATTACGCTTAAGATTAAATCTTTAGTACGTACAATCTGGATTAAATGGACAAAATAGTTTTTTTTCAACCAGAAAAAAAAATGCGTGATATTTGCCGAGACCCTCTCCCCCCTTAAACATCTCACGTAATTTACGGACGCCCCCACTAGAGTTACCTAAGAAACTTTACTAGCTAATTCAGACAACAATTATATTTCTGCTTTTTTATTGATTTTCCACATTAAAACATTTTAATTGTAATAAATTGAATAAATAAATCTTTTTTTAGAATATATGTATTTTAAACAGGTAATAATGCCATAATAGGTCTGTTATTTTCCACTTCTAAGTTTAGGATATTTAGTTAACAATAAAAAAAAATATTTTTGTATGGGGGTGTAGTACATTTACTGTTCATACTATTTTTATTTACCAAATTTTGAAGTTTCTCTGTTTACTGAAAATTACTATTTGTATGCTTCATGCTGTCTTAATATCTTATTTATTCTATCTTAATATGAGTGCAACTTACGTTGGCCAGTTTTTTTAACAAATCAATTCATAGCAGTGATATAATCACAATATTTCTTAAAGAAACATTGTACTCAGTACTTACAAAGCTAATGGTTTGCAATTGTCATCTAAATTAAGCAAAATTCTTACCAATTTTAACACATCCTTTGTCAGTCAACAGAAGGTTTGATACTTTCAAGTCTCTGTGTACAATGAAGTTGGAGTGTAAATATTTTAGGCCCTTTAGTACTTGCAACATCAAGCATTTTACTTGTGACTCTGTAAATGGTGAGGACATGTTGTCAAGCAAGGATGCCAAGTCTTGCTCACAGTATTCCATTGATAAGAAAATACTGAAAAAAATTGTAACATTAAAGCTATAATAATACTATTAAAAGATAAAAATATGTTTGAGTTTATGTAATGAGTAATTTTAAATAAAACTCTAGGTAACCTTATTTATTTACCTGAATTTTTACTATTTAACATTTGATAATATTTTCATATTAAATTATTCAGAACTTAAACTTTATGACACACTTACCTTTCTAATGAACGTCCCACAAGCACTTCCTTCAGTTGAACAATGTTTTCATGTCGGCAAGCCATCAAGACCTGTATCTCACGAAGGCCACTCAAAGGTAGCCCATCTTTCTCTACATCCATGCGAACTTTTTTCAATGCAACTATATTACCATTCAATTTATCTTTTGCTCTGTCTGTAAAAAAATAAAAATATATGAGCAAAACTAGGTTGACTAATGTTCTTGGAATATAGTACATACTGTAAGCTTCTATTGTAAAATAGATACGAAGGTACCAAAAAAATTCATTATCGTTGCTAACGTTTAAGGTAAAGTAGTCTTAGAAAATCAATAATTTCGTTACTTACATACAATACCGTAAGTGCCTTCACCAATACGATTGAGTTTCTCAAATTCACCGACGAATCTGCATCTTCCGAGCTGAAATATCAGCCACAATGTTTTTTACAGTATAAACAATTTCTGACAAGCTAAAGAAAACAAATACCGCTGTATACCTATCACGCAAACTTGAGGTTATGTTTACTTACGATGTCTTTTTCAGGGATTTCCATGGTTTTGCCAGTTCTTAACGATATGAGCACTCCTTTGCGAGCTGCTGGTCCTGTAGGATCCGTAACATCCTGATTTGACGGTTTTTCAGAGTCTGTAAAATCCATAAAAATTTAGAGTAACAAAGCAGCTAAATTGAGGTTATATACCTGTATAACATATTCTTATTACATACTTTGAGACATTTATATAACAATTATTTAATCCTTATGTTGATTTCCTTGAGCAATTACTTTTATTGTATACAATTTCTCTCAACAAACAAACAAAATAAATCACCAAAACCAAACAATTTTTTTTATTTTTTTTTGTTGAAGTTCTCCCGTTTTAGGGAAGGCAAAGGGAACAATGCCCATACAGCCTGGTCTTTAATTAAATAAATCTTCTTTTTGTTTTTATATTAAAATGTCGGTGTGACGCATTCTAATGTTTCTTGGACTGTTTGGCACGAAATGAATCGAGTTGGCTTTTTTGATAAGCTTCTGTGAGGTAGACAACACTACAATAAAATTCTTACGTCCACTTGACCGGAATAGCGTATATTTTAAAGATTCCACTAATTCTTCAGTTACGCAGACGGTTGTTGCACAAAATCACACTAATTTTATTTCACAATATCCACTATGAACGAATTTAAGAATAATTAAAATAAGACGCCAAGAGCACTCAATGAAATCCCGCCAAAAAAAAAAGAACTGTGCATTAAGGGAAGGGTTGCCACCTTTTTTTGTCCAAATAAAGTACATTGGATATTAAATGTAGAAAAAAAGTACATTGTGTCCAAAATAAAGTAAGTTTTATTCCTCTTTATTAGTAAGCTTAAGAATATATTTTACGTTGCTACTAGAAAATTTTGATAAATAAATTTGTGGCTACTAAAAATTTGTAGTTCCTTTCCGCAGTGGGAAAGGTCATATAATGTTGCAGGAATTAGCTAAGGGCGACATATTCATACTGTCTGTCCGTTTTATGCAAAAATTCTTCCTATCAACCTCTTTTTGTTTATTTTATGTAAAATGAATCCCTGAGTAATTAAATCACATTAAATAAAGTAGTTTTGCGTACTTTATTGTTGGCATAAAGTATAGAGTACAATTACCCGAAATAACGTACAATACTTTTTAATAAAGTACAGGTGGCAACCCTGATAAAGGATGTATCTGATTTTTTAAATGGCTCCGTGGATCGTACCTACCTTTTGGACAGGTTACGGCCACGATTCTATTCGTGATGTTGTATCTAGAGTGTGTTTATCAAAACACTCCCAACTTATGGAGCAGAGGAACAATATTTTTTCATTTTTTAAAGAGTCATGTTGTTAAATTTCATCCGGCGTAGGTAATATATAAGTTTATTTTACCTTTTTTTTTACAAGTTCATGCGAGGCACTGACGCTTAACCCCCCCTCTACGATGCAGCCGACGATCTTTTTTCATCTCAGTATGATATCAACTATTTATGAACAAACTTACATCCAGCGTTCTATTACTTAATTTTTATTCAACTTAATTTTTTACGCCTGTGAAGTTAGCCCCCCACTTTTAAAATTTTATTATTATCCATTGGATTGTTCTATGTCTGTGCTACATTGTTCCAAAGTATTATTTGAAAAAACCAAAATTTGAAGCTGCCAGACAAAAAAAAACGTTTCTCTATGGTAGCCCCCCATGTTTGGGAATTCAATATTTTTTTCAGTTGTCCCAAGTTGTTCTAGTTGTTCCTAACATTGTTCCAAAGTATTATTTGAAAAAACTAAAATTTGAAGCTGCCAGACAAAAAAAAACTTTTTTATGGTAACCCCCCATGTCTGAAAATTCATTACGTTTTAGTTATTCATTATGTTTTAGAAAAAAATCAAATTTGAAGCTGTCAGGCAAAAAAAACGTTTTTCAGATAGCCCCCCACGTTTGGAAATTCAATGTTTTTTATTTGTTCCTAACATTGTTCCAAAGTATTATTTGAAAAAACTAAAACTTGAAGCTGTCGGGCAAAAAAACTTTTATTTATAAAATAAAATCGTAATAGAGACAATAAATAAATCAACAATAATTTTAAACAATGACGATTGTATCAGTACAACCGTGGGCTATATCGTTCCAATTTCATTTAATCATTTTGAATTAAATTAATAGTTATGACAAGAAAACATTTTAATATAGGGTAAACTCCCTAATTGTTGGCATTCTAAGAGTAGGTTCCATGTCAGTCAGACATTAAATTACCATAAAATCACATCTAAATGAGTGAGTACACAACACATGGAACAGTATCAAAGAAAATATTTTAATCTTTGTTTTCATAATAGTACAGTCAATGAAGGCAAAAATCAGCTACAACCTCCTATTTCGTTGAACCTCCATCGATTTTCATAAAAATTGAAAAATAGAAAGTGTCATCTTATTTTTATCATAACTTGCTCAATTTTGATGTTATCAACTTTTTACAGTACTCATTAGATAGGTATATCCAAGGACTTAAAAAAATTTCAGGAAGTATATGTCATAAAATGCATCGGTTTCCCGTTATTTAGGTTTGAATACTTAGATTTAAGTACATGGGCGTAGCCAGGTACGGGCAGGGGAGCCCCCTAGATCGAGGAGCTTCAGAACCAAAAATTAAATAATAAATAATCCAAAAACTAACTATAAAATTTAAAAAAAAAATCGCACATCACTCTCATTAGTCTCGTTACTAAAGCTCTAATTTCGATAGGACTACTCGTAAACAGTGAAGTGACCCTACCCTCGTACGTACCTACGTTAAGCATTTCTTGGACGTAAAATGATGGATATAAGGATTTTTTTAAAGTGTGCAGTCTGTATAATGTTACGGTATTCTTAAAAATATAATTTTGCCGGGCCATGTGTCGTAGCCACACATTGCCGAGCAACTATGGCGCGTTTAGAACACAGGTTTAGAAGCATCATAAAAATAAGTTATTCGAAAATTAGTTTTTTACTAGCTAGCACCAGCTAGCTAGCTACTTAATGCTTTTATATGCGATTGGTGAAATCATTAAAATGGCTTGGATTGTTCTAGTTAAATCATTTCATATTTATCATTTTGTTTTATAAGTTGTCAGATTTCCCAATAAAATAAAATTCATTCTCATTATTTCTTATAAACTCGTCATAAACTTTAATGAAGTTTCATTAGTTGTCCTAAAAAGATCATAAAATGACATCTATTCTCATTAATTGTATGTGAGACGAAATTCTTAACAATCCATGGTTTCACCGTGCTGGTGCCGAGTCTATCGTGTGGCAGAGAAACTCTGAGCAGTTCCCGGGCCTTGCCATCCGGGTGTAGGTTTAAGGAGGCCCCCTTAGAGATACGCATCAACGCTCTCCTTCACTGCTTGAGTTGCCCGAGCTTCCTAGCCAAACTTGATAGGAGTCTGTTAGTCCAGCCTTAGTTACTCGTTCCAAAATTAAACTTACTACAGTTCTCGATAGGCCGAGGTCTTTTAGAAGGTTATAGAAAGATTTTGCTGGTATACCTCTCGCTCCTACTTCTACCGCATGTAAATTAACTAGATAGCCATTTTTGGTCAGTTCGTTGTTAAAATCGTAATATTTATTCAATTTTATTGTGAGGTGTTTTGGAATGTTAGTACCATACAGTAAGCTCTATTAGTACTTTACTTATGTTTGATGTGCCTAAAAAAGGGGAATACGTCCGGCCTGGATGACGAAACACCAACATCATCTGGTACATTGTAGTGATTTTCATACGTATCTTTTAAAATAGTCTAGTCAGGTTCAGTATCTAGGATTGAAAAAGGCTTGCTTTGCGAGTTAACAGTTGAGCCTTCCTTTATAAAATTAATTTGTTTTTTATTTGTGGTTAATCCTTTTTGGTCAAATAAGCATTGTATTTTCTTTGTGCAAGTTACAAGATAAACTTGTAGTACAGTCAATCTGTCGAAAAAAATATCGTTTCAGTGAAAAAAAAACCTAAAGGGTAAGTCTTGTTTTTTCTGTTGCTAAATGACGTCAGTAAGCTACCTTGGCGATGGGCATGTTCAACTCGTAGGCGTTTTTTGCAAAACTCAAAAAAACCGTCAAATTTTTTTTGAAACGCATTTTTCTTGTTTTGTATGCATTTTAGAAACTTTTTTTTGACCATAATTGTAGAGGGCGTTAAGTGCTACAATTTATGTCATTGTTGCAATCTCGTACAACAAAAAATGCGCATTGTAGGTGGCGCTAAAGTCTCAAAAAAGTGTTTTCACTTTTTCACCCTGAAAATATCATTTTAATGGAAAACTTGAAATGGCAAAGTTGTTTCGTATATAATTACCAACAACTTTTGTAAAAACAATTTTTTTGTATTACTTACCGGTTTCAAGTTATAAATTGCGCAGGTATAAAAAATCCAATAGAGCTGTTTTGGGCAGTTCACGTACACATTTGCAGCGCACATTTCAATGTACGTTTTACTATTTTTATTTTTTTTCATGATTGAAAAACAACAAAAAATGAAAAAAAAAATGTTTTATTTTTATTTTTTTTCATGATTGAAAAAAAAAGTAGTAAAAACGTACATTGAAATGTGCACTGCAAATGTGTACTTGAACTGCCCTAAACCGCTCTATTGGATTTTTCATACCTGCGCAATTTATAACTTGAAAACGGTAAGTAATACAAAAAAATTGTTTATACAAAAGTTGTTGGTAATTATGTACGAAACAACTTTGCCATTTAAAGTTTTCCATTAAAATGATATTTTCAGGGTGAAAAAGTGAAAATATACTTTTTTGAGACTTTAGCGCCACCTACAATGCGCATTTTTTGTTGTACGAGATTGCAACAATGACATAAATTGTAGTACTCAATGCCCTCTACAATTACGGTCAAAAAAAAAGTTTCTAAAATGCATACAAAACAAGAAAAATGCGTTTAAAGAATTTTTTGACGGTTTTTTTGAGTTTTTCAAAAAACGCCTACGAGTTGAACATGCCCATCGCCAAGGTGGCTTACTGACGTCATTTGGCAACAGAAAAAACAAGACTTACCCTTTAGGTTTTTTTTTCACCACTCAACCTACAGATTGACTGTACTATTGGCGGTTAATGATTTTAATAATGTTCCAGAAATAAGAGACACGATTAGCACAATAAAGGATGTCATCAACTTTTTCGAGAATCTTCTCTACGGAGAAAGTACGTGCCAAATATTCCAGCTCTTTGTGAGACACGCTGGTCACAAAAAAACAAAAGTATTGCTATTTTTAACGATCATTTTGAGGGCATTCTCAATGGGCTTTTGGCAATTTCTAGAGAAGGTAATGCTGAAGCGAGAAAAAACGCTTACCACTTATATTATGCTGCTACCAAGTAAGAATTTATTATATCTGCTGGTTTGATAGGAAAATACTCAGGAATATTGGAACCTGTTGCCAATGCCCTATAATCAAAGACAATAGACATGTATATATGAAAGAAGCATCTCAGTAAAGCGGACCAGGAATTCCAATATGTCTTTGACACTTCTACGGAAACTGCAGCTGTCATTGGAACCGATTTACATATCCCGCGCATTGCATTTCGCAAACGACATCAGTCCAATCATCCTCCTGAGACTCCATGCGATTTTTGGAAGCGATCGATCTTCATCCCGTATTTAGATTCCCTTATATCCGCACTGGAACATCGTTTCTTTGATATACATATGTTAATCAAAGAAACGATGTTCCAGTAGGCATATGCCTGCCTTCGGATTGATGATGCATCCTGATGCGATGTTGATAATTTCATTGGCTGAATTCAAACAGAAAACACAAAGTTACTATGGGTTAGAATGTTTTGATAATAAAGCCGAACTGTGATATAAATAATGACGATGGAAAGATATGCCAAGAGAACACCTAAGAGAGCTGAACTTTGCGGAGTTGTTAGAGAAGGCGGAAACATTCTTTCCTCCAGCCAGAAAACCTATACTAATTTCTTTGGCACTGTCTTGCACCACGAGGTAGGTACTTCTCTACGCGGCGGTGTAGTCAAAACGTGGTTGAGGTCGACGACGCTCGATCTTGATCTCTTAACATACATAGGATACATAAATGGTCTGTGTATGTTAAGTGTCCAGCGAAAGATGGTACAAGAAAATTTAATTTTTGTAGCGAACATACCTGTTTCACTCGCCTGCCCCCCCCCCCTAAACTAAATCCTGGCTACGCCCTTGTTTAAGTACTCGTCGAAAAAAAATATACATACAATTACCTATAGCTCACTTTGAGTTATTAATAGAAGGTTTTTCAAAGTAGTTGTTTATATTTTTATTACCTTAAATTTTGGTCATAATTTTTTTTTTGTAAAAACTCATAGTTTTTGAGGTGTTTAGGAAAAATCGCTTTAAAAGATGTATTTTTATCACGAAAAATCACAATATTTGATATTTAATAACTCACGAACTATTGATTTATTCCAAAAACTTTATATAACAAATTTTGCTAAGCATTTGTCTCTCTATCGATTCCTGGAGTATTTTTATTAAAATAATTTTCACCCCCGAAAAGGGGTGGCATCTACCCCCAGGGCAAAAGCGCAAGTAGGCACTATGTCACTATGTTTCTTAAGGTATCCCCCACCTACTCACCAATTTTCATGAAAATTAAAAAATTCTCAATATTGGCATCTATTCGTCTAATGGTTTGCATTGGTTGAAAGTAGGGAATAGAGACCTACGTAGTACCTATCAATATAAAAACAAGAAATATTTATTTACTTTCACATACCGAGGGTATAATAATAATGAAACAAAGACTCTTTTGTTTTAATCATTTTGAATAAGATTTATAGTTACAAAAAAACATTTACAGTATATCAATATACCTTGATTGTTAACATTAGATACGTGGTAGAAGCCAAACGGTTTGCGCGTATGCAGGAAGGACCACGTGCAGGTTGTTACATCCTCCCCTTTTTTTAGTTTGTATTTTTTGTGATTTTTTTTTTTTATTTTCCTTTGTTTTTAGTTTTGAGTTTTAATCATTAGGTTTTATAACTAGATGAACGTACTTAGAACACACACAGATGTACACCTGTAATAAATATAATTCGAGCGAAAAAAACTTCACAACATTAAAAGCATAATGTAACAACATTTACAAATCATTATGTTGTTACAACGTCAATACAATCATGATTTATTTAATATAGAAAACCTGTTGGAATGATTGGAACAGTTCAAACCCAAGCATTTTTGTCTCTAATATAATCAGACACTTTGTAATAAGCTTTTAGAGTTTACTCCTTAAGAATCGATTTGCATATATAAGGGGCCGGTATGAGAAAAATGTGAGGAGTATCAATCGGGCTCTATATATTTACGTCGCAACATAAGTTTGAGTTGTGTAAATTACTTTTGCTCCACTACCGTACGTCGCAAATTAGCGAGCGCCTCATTTCTTTTTCTTCTTCGATTTTTCCAAATTTCTACGCATTGTATTCATTACAGGTGTAAAGTTGTGTGTGTTCTGAGTACAAGCATCTATTAAAAAAAAAAAATGGTTGCCTGTAAAGTCGGTTTTACGGGCGAAGATTTTACGTGACAACGTCTTTTTCTCGGTAGAATATTTATTGATATGAATATAATTAAATTGCACAATAGGAACAAGGAATTGAATGAAAATAAGAATTGCACAAATTTTAACTATAGAAATATATTTTGTTTACTAAAACATTGTACATGTAAACTTAAACTTAACACGAGAGACTCATCGTAACGTTACCGAGCGTTACACTTTTTCATAAGTGACTCCCAGCCGCAACCTAATTTAAGACGTTGTCACGTCAAAACAAAAATATCCAAAAAAAATATTACAAAATAAAAAAAAGCCAAAAAACACAAACAAATGGGCAACATAAGTTTGCAGTAGTAGTCCAATCACTTTAGGGGAAAAGGGGTCAATCTCGAAATTTCACATAATAAGCTGGAAACCCTTGTACAGCTTCATTTAGGCGTTCCAAAAGCTGTATCAAAAGTCTCATATTATCTCGTGTCTGCGCCGTAAGTTAATCGAAGTCAAAGGTCACGAAAATCCGTTTTTTGCAATTATCTCCGTTTCTATAGTTCCAATTAATTTAACACCTATTATGAAAATTAAAGATACAAAAATTTGCCACATCTTTTGCTTCAACTTTTTTGCTATACGCTCAACCCTTTTCGAGATAGAGGGCGGAGAGCACCCAGCGCTCAAACATACATACTGTGATACAAGGTCGGATTTCGGGTAAGTTTTGGGGGGAAGGCGAAATGGCTTTCTGGTAACACTGGCCAGCATTGACAACTTTTGCTGTGCAGGCTCTGGCAACACTGACCTTTTGTTCTTTAATTTGAGTCAAACCAACATTCTAATGAAAAGAATAGAAGATTAAAATAACTTAAGGCTTGGCTGTATGGGCATTGTTCCCTTTGCCTTCTTGGAAAAGGGAAGGAAATTTTAAATAAAAAAGGTTCTGTAATCTGAGGGGGGGAGATTTTGGCGGGATTTCATCGAGTGTGGTTGGCGTCTTAATTTAATTATTCTTAAATTCGTTCATAGTAGATATTGTGAAATAAAATTGGTGTGATTTTGTGTTACAACTGTCTGCGTAACTGAAGATTTAGTAGAATCGTCAAAATATACGCTATTCCGGTCAAGTGGACGTGAAAATTTTATTGTAGTATTGACTACCTCACAGAAGCTTATCGAAAAAGCCAGCTCGATACATTTCGTGCCAAACAGTTCAAGAAACATTAGAATGCGTCACACAGACATTCTAATGTAAAAAGAAAAACAGAATAATTGAATTTAAGATTAGGCTGTATGGGCATTGTTCCTCTTGCCTTCCCTTAAAAGGGAGAATTAACCAAAAAAAAAATAATCTGAGGGGAGGGCGAGGGCGACTCGTGCTTACGTTTCGCGGATTTTTTTAAAAAAAGTTTCTAAATTTATACGGTAACTATTTCCTGTTAGTACTTGGTATACTTACTCTACTCTTTTGTTATTATTTAATAGAAGACTTAATTATTGTTATCGTGTGTGTTTTGTCTTTTTTTATTCACCCAACAATTCATGATAATATGAACAAAGTTTTTAAACCATTTGGTCACATATGGAGAACTTATGTGTAAGCTGTTCTTTGGTGGTTTGGTTTTTAAAGTGATATACCTACCATAGTTAATGCCCTAGTGTCCTGGTTTTATACAATAGCGGACAATACCATAAATTTTTCGAAGTGAGATTGTATGTTTTTATATGTCATGCATGTCACAGACGTAATAAAATTTGGATTTTTATTTTCTGGTTGTAGTACCCATCCCATATTTAGTTTAGCTAAAATCTACCTACCTAGTAGAAATGAGGATCCCCAAAGCACTAAATCCACGAATCCAAAATAGATTACTGTAAGTGATTTTTACTAATATTTTTTAATTTATATTGTTTTATCTTAACATAACCTACATTCATTAAACATTGCACTTATTTTAAGAAAACGGTTTGGAGTATATGATTTGGTTTTTCCTGGTGATACGACACCTAGCAGAAAAGTCCCAGAGCATATTGTGCCTCCTGACTATATTTCTGGAAAATTGCTAATACTGCCAAGGAAACCAGAAATCAAAGATAACCAGCAAATAGCCAGCATGCAAAAAAGCTGTCAATTAGCAAATGCTATTCTAAATAAAGTGCAAAGTTTTATTATGGTTTGTAGAAATTTAAGGTTATATATTATTTCATTTAAATTTGCTAGATTTCTTTATTCATATTATTAATAAATTCCATTTTTTAGCCTGGAATCACAACTGATCAAATAGATGAATTAGTGCACAACATGACAGTAGAAGCAGATGCTTATCCATCTCCGTTGCACTACAAAGGCTTTCCAAAAAGTGTTTGCACATCAGTGAATAATGTTGTAGTACATGGTATACCTGACCTGAGGCCATTACTAGATGGGGACATAGTTAATGTGGATATTACAGTAGGTATCATCAAAAAACATGTTAGAGAAGAGTAAAATACAAAATAATATCACAACTTGAATCATAACCTTTCTGCTCACAGGTTTTCATCAAGGGTTTCCATGGAGATTGTTCCAAAACCTTTACTGTAGGTAAAGTTGACGATAGAGGCTTACAACTTATACAAGTTACAGAAGAATGCCTTGAAATTGTAAGTTTCTGTTTTGTCACAAAATCTCAATAAACAAGATAAGTAGGAGGTCTATGCTACTTATGTGGCTGATTTTTTGCTTTAATGAGAGTGCAAGTCTAGGGAAGGGAAATTCCCTCTATCTAACAAAAGACTGCACTATAATAACATTTTGGTGCTGTTGTATTTCTATGGATAACTAAGGTTTAAGTGCTTGATGAAGTATGGAGATTTCATCGAGGTCGATAAGGTGGGCTATTGTGGCTTCCGCTTACACTTAACATCAAGCGGGTTGGACATATTCAATTCAAATAATTTATTGCAACCATAATGTGTACAGTAAAAGGTGGTACTTATATAAATATGATCATTATGGACCCTGTCGCACTTTGCACTGCTCCCTAAATAAAGAAACTTCTCTGTACTTTTTTATTCTATAGTCAATGAGAATTTATCACATCACCTGTTCAATAGACAAAACAAAATGAAAAAGTTATTAGTTTTCAAACTTCAGACACTGTTAATTTTTTTCTAATAATATTATATATAGGTATAAGATGATAACTTGATCTTGTGTCACCTTGGATACTACAATCTGCCATCACATATAACACTTTCATAACTGACAACATTGATTAAACCATAATAATTTCAGCCACAATAATCTTTTAGGCTACAAGATCCTGTGGTCCTGATGTACCATTTAATGAAATAGGCAAAAAGATATATCATCATGCAAAAAGAAATGGTCTCACAGTCTTGCCTGCTTTTGTGGGACACGGCATAGGTGAATACTTTCATGGACCTCCTGAAATATATCATACAAGTTAGTAAAGTTTACTTTTAAGATAATATTATTAGTCCATAAAGTAATGTTTACTTTTAAGATATTATTCGATGTTGGTACATTAAAAATGTACCTTTATTTCAGGAAATTAAGTGGTTTTTGGTTTAATGCCTACCAGCGTTGCCAGATTTTTTTTCCAAGTCAGGATTTAGGAACATTTTGAGTGAAAAAAGCGAGATTCTTTCGTCGAAAGCGGGACATAGTAAAAAAAACCTATATGATCAAAAGTTATTGAATATTTATCTTCATGACACGCCGCCCGGGCAGGCGGCCTGTCCACATCTGCCACCCGCCCGCGCTTCGTACGCTGCACGCACGGTCGAGTATACTTGAAAAGCGGGATTGAGCTTGTCCCAGGCGGGACATTAAATTTTGATTTAAAAATCGGGGCGTCCGTCCCGCCGAAATCGATGTGTGGCAACGTTGATACCTACTCTATAATATCATAAATATAAAATTCTCGTGTCACAATGTTAGAAATCAGAAATCAATATATCTTTATTCAAATTGGATGTATAGTACAACTGTTTTGAATCGTCCAAAAAAAATTTTTTTCCCTACCACTCGTTATGGACATATTTTTTAGCTGCGGAGAAAAACGAGCGAAAAAAACTCCACAACATTAAAAGTTAGTTACCATACTCCTCCGAAACGGCCTGACCGATTTTTATGAAATTTTATATGCATATTCCGTGGGTTCAGACCCACGGCTTCTATCTATTTTTCATATCCTTAAGTAATAATTGTTGTCCACCTGTAACGTAGTGTTCTGAAACCTACAAATAGCCTTGGCACCAAAATTCAAACTATTGGGTATTTTAACGTAGTGTTCTCATATGGGTTGAGAGGAATGTTATCCCAGAAAATTGATAGAACATTACGATACACAATGCTAAAATTTTTTGATTCAAAACAAATAAAACATATTTATAATTTTAGAATATCAATAACCTTTGCTTTGTTAATATTCATTAGGAAATTTATCTATTATGCCTTTACAGAAAATCGGTATCCTGGTGTGATGAAGCCTGGCATGACGTTCACAATAGAACCTGCCTTGTCTCATGGTTCAGCACAAACGGTTTTATTAGAGGATGGCTGGACTGTCATCACAGAAGATGGGGCTCGAGCAGCACAAAGAGAAAATACAATACTAATAACCAAAGATGGAGCTGAAATCCTTACCAAATAATCTGTGATATTTTATATTTATTATTTGAAATAAAACAATATACTTAGCGTGTGGTGTTTTATTTTTAGCTTAAATAAAAACATGTTACTTGATACATTTAGAAGCACAAGCACAATAGTTATTATCACTCATATTCGTCAGTCAATAGTAAAGTTTGTAAGTAAGTGTAATAGGACGAAGGCGTAACCAGTGGGACACATAAAGAGACCCCCGGTATTAGTAAAACACATTGGGTTCCACCACATCCATTTTCATTAATTTGGTCCCATTAGTACTCCAGCTACGCCTCTGGCAAAGTGCTGCAGATTATAGGTATAGAAATTTAATATTCTAGTTAAACAAGACTTGATAAGATTGGATAGGTATTACAAATTCACAAAAAAATATGATCAATTTTAATTGTTCCAAAACATATTTTAAAATAGATGAAGAGAGTTAAATTCATGCTTAATGTTGTATTCTAAAGGGCAATGGCTGGAGGCACACGCTGCGTAATAGCTGACACACAGAATTGTGATAACTTTGAATGTTCATATTAATCACAATAAAAATAAATAAGTGCCAGAGTAGTGGATTTAAATGGTTTCAGCAAAACCAAAGGAAATAATATATATTGAGGAGTATAAATTTAAATCACCATGAATCTTATTTGGTTTTTAAACAAATACAATCAATGAAACCAACAATTATACTTGAGAACAAAATTAGGTTTAGCTGTTAACTTACATATCGTCATTCTGGCATAAAAGTTATAATTTAATAGAAGTGACGAGATTTTAATAGTAGGACCAAATTTTTATTCTATACTTACATGGTGGTTGGTGCTGATAAACTTAGCTTTGCTCTCAAGTATAGTTTATACAGGTAATTTAAAATTAAAATCGATAATCAACATTTTAGCATTTCTTATATAAATAAGGGTTAAACCATATTAAATAATTAAGGTAATCTTCAAGACTCGATCAACCTGTGTTTAACTGAAAACTGATTTTCGAAGAGGCGTCTGCCTTTAGAACTTAATAATAATAATTAGGTACGAAGGTGCTGTTGCTCAGTCGCGGGTACCTCAAGGGATGATCATTAGCAATAAAGTAAAATCTATAGAAATGAATTCACAAAGTTATGCATCAATATCATTGTTATTGAGATCTTAATAATATGTAAACAATTTATTTGACTAGTGTTTTAAAATAGTATAAAGTCTATATAATATCTGAGGTAAAAATAAATGGATTTAACAACTATATAAAAATAGCAACATTTTCATTAATGCTGCTCAGGTGCCGATTTAATTAAGTATATATTTACTAACCAATTAAAAATGACATAGAAAAACATAATTATACAAATGGAGGAATGGAGAAAACAATGATAACTACTTATGTTATTAAATATTATATGTATGGGGTAAATAAAATTTGCATAAGAAGTATATTATGAAACTTATATTAGTACTTATTACAAATAGTTATAAGATGTCTTAGTAGAAGGATCGAATTTTTACATATCAGCCATACCCCGCCTGTTATTATAGTCTTAAATGTCTTTTTGTCAACATCGGAATAAAGCTTTTCGCTAAATATGTACTTAAGTTTGTTTAAAATATTGTAAACCAAATTAGAAAATCAAATAGCGGATTGCAGTTTCTGCTAATTGTTCTTTCTCAATGCCTCTTGGAAACGTTTGCTGGAGCTTAGAATAATTATATACAAACTATACAAAGGATAGAATCTGTAGTGTGATGGATGCTAAGAATCGGAGTTCTATTATGTGTTACACAACCATCACATCAAAATTGCAAATTTAATCTTCAGTTACATCTGCTTACCTTTTGTCCAAATAACATCAGGATAAGTAATATTCGAACGTCATAGTTCTGCTTTTAGTTTAGATTTACATAACATATAAAATTGGGGCTTTAAAATCACTAATTAATATAAAATTTTCATGCAAGATTTTTAATGCAATTTAAGAGTATGTAATTGCTCAAATAGAATCTTATTAATTATAAAAACTTGCATTTTTTTAAATTAATGATTTTAAATTATTCATTGACATACATGAATAGTTCAAATTCAATTTTACAAAATACTTACTCGAATAATTTTAATATATGTATCACTAAAGGTGCTAGGGAAGGTTAAAAAGAGTGTATAAAAGTTGATACAAAATTATTGAATAGATTTAACAATATACAAAAGCTACTTTGCAACCACATACTTTAGTTACTTAAATTTTTAATATATCACTCAAGGTAACACACATTCTGTAAACAAGAATTACCTCAGTCAAAACGAGAATCAAATATATTCTATTACAACAACAAACAACATCATAGATAAATTAATTACATTCAAATCACTTACACACTTTGATGTCTATAAAATTTAAATTTAAGCACTAGCTTTTACATTTCACTACCCTTCCAATTATACTATCTAAGTATGAATGGCAATTGCTAATTTATTGAAGGGAATATAAGTTTATATTATGATATTATACTATAAATGCCATATTGAATTTTATAAATGAGAAGTGAGAAATATAATGTTAAATAACATTCCCATGTAAGGCTTTATAAATGACAATTACCAAGGGAACTTTTAAACATCACCATATTAAGTAGTTATACTTACTTACACAGAAATGTTATTAACAAAACAAGTGAAAGATTGTATAAAATTTTGTGCATTCATAACCTCGCATATATTGTGTGCGAATAGGAAGATATTAAACTAATTGTACTACAGAATTTAAGAACCATAAAATAATTATTAATATGTTATGAGCAAATGTTGTTTACAAATGATTTAAAAGATTTAATAATTATGGTTTGGGTTATTTTTACAGTTTAATTGTTAAAAATAAGTACTTCTCCAGATACAACGGAATCAAGCAAGAAAATATAAAGTAAATCAATAGAGGTATAGAAATCTATATCATTTAAATAACAACAAAAGATTATTAAAACATAATCAACAATAACTGTAAATCAACAAAGGTTTTTAAAATTTGACTATCTAAGATCTTCATCTTGTACTACTTATTAATCTTATAGAAACGATGAACAAAGTCAGTTAAATTATATACCTGTCCCAGCCCTGTGCCTACATCCATGTTAATGAATTCATCTAAATTGTGTGTTGAATCTGAAAGTAAACAGATTAAAATATGAATGTATTCCAAATTAAACTGAATCACAAACAACGTATAACACTGTGTTATCAAGTTTAGTTCAGCAGTTCTAAAATTTATTTATTGTTATGTAGTCTTTATTGTAATTAAATATATGAATGAGAATATTAATAAATGGCAATATTTATAATAATTGTCTAACTATATATCAAGTTAGTTATGGACTGATATGGACCTTTCAAAGATTAGAGCATTAAGCTCCCCAAGTCTTTTAATTGATTATAATATAAATGGACGGACTACTGGCATAAATAGATAACAGTAAATTACAGTACTAAATTAACAAAAGATAGCATATTTCAACATGACATTATGACCAAAATAATTGAAACATTACAGATATAATCAAATCCAAGGATAACTAATAGTTCTGATATAAATATTAAATTTTTTAATGAAATTACTGATTGGTTCTTCTGATTTGTAATCAAACAATTAAGTTCTACGTCACTAAAATAAAGGTACACCTCCTGTCTATGTTCGTAGATTTTGACAGGATAAGAAAACTTACAGGCTGTGCAGATTGCAGGATATGGTGGAGGTGGTTTAATCCATGACCCATCTGTCCTCTTCATGTGACGACGATCTGATGCAAAACTTTGCAAGAATTGTTTTGCTGGAACTACTCGAAAGAATCTGCAAGTTTGTTTTTTCATGTAAATATTACATTTTAAACATTGTTTAATAAAGGACAAAGTTAATGAAAAAATAATCCAAAGTGAAACAAGCTAGTTTAATTTATTATGTATATTATATAAATATTGTTTTAGAATTACCTATGGAAGTCTGACTTTAAAACTTGATCTGTGCGAAATGTCTCTGTTACATATTTATGGAAAAATGTCGGAAATGGTAATTCTGAATCCAAATCATATACAAGACATGTTTTGAAATCCCAAGAATATAGGAATATCACATGGTAATCCTGAAATAAAAAAATAGGTCAATTGATATTATGAGACTGCAAGTCATAATGAACAAAGGACCTTTCGTGTCAAAAAATGAAATGTAAAATAGGTATGTATGTATGTATAGCGTGACACAGTTTAGGTACACACCCATATGACAAGGCGGTCCTCTTCACGCCCAGCCCTTTGTTTCCACAAAGGAACGGTGCGACAAGGATTGGATATGAATACCACATAGCACCTATCTAATTCCTCTGGCACTCTGAGGGAGGCATCCTGGCACAACTTCCACACATTTTCTTCGCTACGACGATTACCACCCAAAACAAAGCAATAAAATTAGGCAAAAAGTAGCAAGTAAAGTGGGAAGAATACCTGAAGTAACAACACATACCAATAACAAGACACATGTGAACATTCTTCTCGTTTTGGAAATAATGGTTTCATTGATTTATCGTTCTTTTTATTATTTTCATTGCTAGTCAAATGAACTTGTGCATTGATCGACATGTTGACACAACCAAATTGAATTGATTTTTTTTTTTATATCTTTTTTCCCATCTTGGGAAAGGCAAAGGCAGAGCCATGCAGCCATAGTCTTCATTTAAAGGATTTTTTTTTTGTTTCTTTTTTCTATAAGGCCGAAGCCACTTCTTTAATCATAAGATATTTGTCCTAAATAGTCTTTCTAATCCATTTTCAGTTTAGGTACTTATTGTTTCCCCCAAATTTTCAAATCCGATTTTGAATCTTCTTTCAATTTGAATCTTCTTTCTTTCAATCTTATTTGTTTAAAGTCATGAAATTTTTTAAAGTTCCATATCTATGGAAACTAAAAAAATATATAGATATTTGTATGATTTTGGATTCATAACAATGTCTTGAATGTCGCGCGGGATTTCATTATTAGTTTTATATAATTTAATTAAATTGTCAGCTAAAACAAGTCTTTGTATATTATATGCTGTACATTCAAAAAATATATGGTTTAGTGTTTGATCTTTATTTAAATTACAGTTTGTGCATAACGGAGATGTAATTATATTCATTCTATATAAATGTGAATTAAAACGTCCATGTCCAATTCTCAAGCGTGTGATGGTCGTATAAAATTTCCGACTATGGTATTCTTTAGATTTTGTAAACCATGGATGTTGACCAATTACATTATTAATTTTATGATACCATTTTCCTTTTATTACTAGCGTTTGATGCCAATTAATCAACCAATCTTGTTTTAACAAAAGTTTTAGTTTGGGTAATAAATCTGAAAAAGGTATGGCAACATTTTTAAAGTCAACGTCATCATTGCTTCGATTTAAAATGGTTCTGGCTAACGTATCAGCTTTCTCATTTCCGATGACTCCTATGTGCGATGGAACCCACATTAAAACTATTTGTACATTGAGGACTTTAAGTTTGTGGTACATTTTTTTAATATCATGTAAAATAAAATTACTTCCAGAGTCAAATCTATTGTTTCGCAAAGCTTGTAAACAACTCATGCTGTCTGTTAACACCAACCATTGAGTGCACTCCTGAATATTTTCCTCTATAAACTCCAATGCAGAAAGAATTGCAAGACACTCCGCAGAAAATATGCTCATCTGGCTTGGAAGTTTGTACCCTAGACCCGTTTTCAAATGAGGTATGTAAATCGCCATTGAAACATTATCATCATTCTTGGAACCGTCTGTATAAATATGTTTATGATTGGAAAACTTATCAATCTTTTTGTAAACTTCTTCTTTAAATTTCAAGTCGGGCGATATATGGATGCTTATGTCACAGAAATGCATATCATAAGTTTCTTTGTAACATATCCAATTATGCTCAGTTTTATTAATGTTGTACTGCTGGTTGTAATTAATATATTCTGAGAAGTCATGAAGCAAATAAGGGATCCTAGACATATTAGTTGGAGAGTATATTCCATATAGAAAGTTAATTTTTTTAATTAATGGATGGGAATGAAATGACAGTAATTTAATCAAAAACTTTGATTTTAAAAATTTAAATCTTAATTGAAGTGGAGGTGTATTGCATTCTACTTCCAGAGAGTTGATAGGAGAGGTTTTCATAGCACCCGTTATGCATCTAAGATTATGATTCTGCAAGACTTCTAATTTTCTTACTAATTGAGAATCAGATCCAAAACATAAAAATCCATATTCAAAGTGACTTCTAACAATTGACTTGTATAACATCAATAATATTTTAGGGTCAATTTTTGATAAACATTTTATGACATTGTAGGCTTTGTAAGCTTTCCCCAAAAGATATTCTACATATTTTTTCCATGAAAGATTATTGGTGAAAATAACACCCAAAAATTTTACTTCACTCTCTACAGGGACAATGACATTATTATATACAATATCAACATTTGTATCACAATCACCAAATACAACTGTTTTAGATTTGTCAGGGCTAATATCTAAATTTAAATAACTGAAATATTCATTTAATTTTAAAAGTGCTCTATTTATAGTAGAGGTTACCTGTTGAATATCAGAACCTGAATGGTAAATGACCAAGTCATCAGCAAATTGCAAGTTTTTTACTTGTGATCCTAAAATGATGTTTAGTTTGTGTACATAAAGAATGTAAAACAATGGAGATAGAATTCCTCCTTGACAGACACCTTTATATGAATAGAGGGGTCCTATTAATTGATTATTAGACTTGACATAAACCTCACGACCATGCAAAAAATTAAAAATCCACATAACTACTTTTTCAGGAAAACCAAGAGAAAAAAGTTCACGTGCTAAAATATGAGGATTTACATTATTGAAAGCACCAACAACATCAAAGAACACACCAATAAGGACTTCATCTTGTTTAAGTGCATCAAAAATGTCTAGTTGAAGATGTGCTATACTCTCTCTAGAGGATCGGCCCCTGCGAAAACCAAATTGATTGGAAGGTAATAGATTATTGCTTTCAATGAAAAATTCAACTCTTTGTTTGAGTAGCTGTTCAAATACTTTTCCCATACATGATGTCAATGCTATTGGCCGGTATGAATTTGCTTTAGTCTTATCTTTATTTGGTTTCAAAATGGGGACCAAACAATCTTTTTTCCAGTCAATAGGTATAACACAGCAAGACCATAACAAATTATAAACTTTTAAGATGATATTCTTTGTTTTATCTGTAGTATATTTTAGCATTTTATAAGGAATACCATCGAGGCCATGAGCTGTATCCCTACGAGTAGAAACTGCAGTTTTAAATTCTTGTATGTTAAATGGCATTTCTAAGTATTTACAATTATGTACAGGATTCCTATTTACAAATGTCAAAGGGACCTCTACGGTATCTGGTGTATATTTTTTGAGAAATTCTGGTACCCATTCACTATATACATTTTTAGATGGAACAGAAATACCATTAAACCTCCTGACAATCCTCCAGAGCTTTGAAATAGGAGTACATCGATTAAGTGATTCACACAATGACATCCAACTTAAGTTCCTTTCCTTTTTTAAAATGAGCTTTTTCAAAGCTTGTAACTTTTTAAACTTAAGGTAACTTTCCTCTGAGAGGTTATGCTTAAATTCGGTATAAGCTTTCCTACAATTATCTACAGCTGTTTTGCAGTTGTTATTCCACCAAGGCAATGAAACACGTTTCTTAAAAGCTTTTAGAGCTGATATTTGTGGTTGAACAAACTGTCTACTAGTGTGAGTAACAGACTGCTGCAGCGCTAGATTTAATAATATTACCATATCTGAATAACATTTTAATGGATTAGACTGGTCAAATTGTAAATTGTTATTTAATAAGAAATCTACATTTTCACTATATTTTTGCCAGTCTACTAGACGGAAATTAAAATATGTAGGGAGTGCAAGTAAATTTTCAAATGAGTCTTTATTATTACTAATTTCTAATTTTGTAATTACAGGTAAATGGTAGCTGCCTAAAGGGTCATCAGAAACAGACCATTCACATCTCAAAGCCAAAGAGGGTGATACTAGTGTTAAATCCAAAGCATTCCTTTGCCATACACTAGAGCCAACAGTTGTCAGCTGACCATCATTTAGGAGTACTAAGTTGTTGTCATTGATGCTTTCAATAATATCGCGCCCACGTGAATCAATAGAGCTACAGCCCCATGCTGTATGCCGGGCGTTAAAATCGCCAGCAATCAGCAAAGGCCCAGGGATACTGCTGATTAAATAATCAAGTTTTGATTTAGAAAATGAAGGGTTACAGTTACCTGGACTATATAAAGACACAAGAGAAATTTCTTGATTTCCATAATACAATCTTACAGCTATATTTTGAATTGAATCATCAAATGATGTATCTATCTTATGGAATTGCAAACTATTATGAATAAAAATGGCAACGCCATTATGGCGGTTACCTGAATCTAGTCTAATTATATCATAACTTTTGAGAGTAAACTGAATGTGTGGTTTTAACCATGTCTCAGAAATCAAAGCTACATGAATCTGATTCTCTTGTAGAAAATTTGTTAATAAGTATCTGTGTGCAGGTAAACTCTGAGCATTCCATTGCATTATATTTAAAAAATCCATAAAAAAAAAAAGATTAAGTGTTTTGTTTTTTATTTTTATTTATTGTTTCCAAGAGAGTATCTTTTATACTCTGTGTGGAAATAGCTGTTTCATTGTTTTTGTTCATTGTAATTAATTTGACAATTGACTCTACAACCATATTCAAAATAAAATCAGAGTTTAATAGCAATGCTAGCATATCAGTGGGGCTTTGTTTCAAGGGAGGGAATGATTTCTCATTAATTACAGCAGAGTATGTTTTATTCTGAGCCTTTTCTCTATTTAATAATATTTTTTCTTTTTTTACAGGGCACTGTGACGAAATAGCCACATGGTTCCCCTTGCAATGACAACATACAGCATCCTGACTTGATTTTGTACAGAGTTTAAAGTTATGTGACTCACCACATATGGAGCATCGTTCTGCATTCTTACAAAATTTGGCAATATGTCCATACCTCAGGCACTTAAGACACTGCTTGACAGGGGGTATGTAGGGTCGTAATTCGAAACGCCAGCTGTTGAGGTCGACACTCTCAGGTAATACTGGGCATGAAAATGTGATAGAAACTGTCTTTGTCGGCTCCAATTTATTTTCACCATTATCAGTCCTTATTCTTCTCATAAAACGTCGAATGCTTACGATATTTTTTGTAGAAGTCAATGCAGAGTATATTTGTTGATTCGATAATTCTGTGGGCACATGAGTGATGACACCTGTGACTTCGCTAGCTGCTGCCGGAATAGATGCCGACAGGTTGTATGCTTCCAAGAATTTTCTATTCTGTAATGCCGCGTTAGCCAGACCAGGACGTTCAAATACCACACCGATTTTATATTTATTCACTCTTCGCAACTGTTTTACACCTTTGTTATATCGCTTCAAGCAGTTTGCTAATCCCATCATGTCTCGATTACCAATAGTCTGATCAGATTTTGTACTCTCAATGAATACCACATATTCGAAACTTCCGCCTT